ATACAGTGGTGCCTCGCTTAACGAGTGCACCGTTTAACAACGAATCCACATAGCGACGTTCTCAATGGCCGAAAATCGCATTGCGATGATCGGTAAGCATTTCGCTTACTGATCTTCACATTGCGATGTTCTAAAAACAGCTAATCGGTGGTTCCAAAATGGCTGCCGGATCAGCAAAATGGCTGGGCAGCGAAAATGGTGGCCAGATGGGGGAATCTTCGCTTACCAGTGAGTTTTTCCCCCATAGGAGCGCATTAAATGTTCCTATGGGGTTCCCCCCCGCATAGCGACGAATCCGGATAGCGACGTTAATCCTGGAACGGATTAACGTCGCTATGCGGGGCACCACTGTATAGCCCTTGCAGGCAGGGCAAACTGCAGGCCATAAATATTAACAAAAGAAATTTAAGCTATTATGTCCTGGAGGGCAAATATATAATGTTGGGGAACTGAGGTTCATATGCGTGTGTCTGTAATCATGTGCTGTCAACTCAATTCTGACGTATGGCTATCCTTTCCAGGGTTTTCTAGGTAGAGAATACACAGAGGCGGTTTTTCATCCCCTTCTTCTGGGGTTGCCGTGGGACTATGGTGCAGCTTGCCCAAGGCCAACTAGGCTGGCTTTTCTGCCAGGAGGCACAAGTGGGGAAATCGAACTCCCAACTGTTAGCCCTGCAGGCAGATACTTAAACTGCTGGGCTATCCAGCCAGCTCTAACTTAGGGGGAACTTTTCCAGGTACAGAGTATTCAGATGTGACTTCTTGTTCCCTTCTTCTGTGTGGACCGCCATGAAGCTTGCCCAGGCTACCTGGGCTGCCTTTTCTCCCAGGAGGCACAAGTGGGGAATCGAACCCCCAACCTCTGGCTTCACAGCCAGAGACTTCAAACACTGAGCTATTCAGCCAGCTATTCAGATGTATAGAGTCCTGACTGATTGGAAGATGCCAAATGGAGATCCAAAGCGAAGTCTCTCTAATCCATCATTCCAGAAGTCTGAACTAAGACTACAGCTCCCAAGAGGCCCGGCCAACATGGGATTCTGGTTGCTGTAGTCCAAAAAAAGAATAATATCTCCATCTTCTGGAAATATAGAACATTTTTCATGCCGTTACCTGGACAATAATAGTGGGAGGAGATCAGATTTAAAAGGTGATGGGGATTCGTATGTTTTTCTTTTTCTTTTGTGCACCATTTAAAGAACATCTCGTCATTCTTGTCTCTTAGAAATAGATCTGATTTGTTATAAAAATGCAGGAAGCAAAGCTACGATAGATGTAGCGGAGGCTACAAGTCAGCCCAGAACTCCCACATTTTGCCCTAAAATGAACCGCGTTGTCCAAACTCATCCTTAGGCAAGTTGTGTTGATGAATCCTCTCTCCAGCATCGTCAGACTCACCTCCCTCTTTGCTTTCTCTCCCCATGCCTAAGCCCAGCTGTCTGTCCTCTGGGGTTTTGTGGTTTCCCACTTTGAGGGTGTAATGATGGAGAAAAATGGGCTTGTTGAATGACTGGCCCATAAACCTTCTATGAGAGGAAAGGCCTTGTTTGTGGTGGCTCCATCTTTGTTGAATCAGCTCTTGGAGGAGCAGTTTTTATTCAAGCTCTGGCGCTCTCTGTTTTTACATGGGTAGAGAGGTTTATGGTTTTATTGTCTTAACTATTGTATTTTTCCGTGTATAAGACGCCGCCCACTTTTGTAATCCAAAATTAAGAAATCTAAGTGGGGCTTGGCAAGTGTAGGGGGAAAGGGATCAAAGTGCTGCAGGATTGCTTTGATCCCTGCTTTCCCCTCCACTTATTTTTGTTCTCTCCTCAGCTTACTTCCATGTATAAGACGACCCTCAGTTTTTAGTCTAAGGCTTTTAGACAAAAGTATAGTTTTATACATGGAAAAATATGGTACTTCACTGTCTCATTTACGTGAACCATCCAAAGTAGGGCTGTGGCATTAGTGGATGCGGTGTATCATGTTGAAACAAAAAATAAATAAATACTGCTGTTGGGCAGACTATGTCTGAGTGACAGAAAGGGAGGTCACACCTTTTTACGCCAGAAGCCACCCACATGGACATTCGGCTGTTTTTTGAAACACTGCACAGCTAGGGAAAATAATCTAGCAATTGCAACCGACTCCAGCATTTTAATGGTTAGATAGGAGGAGTGCTTTGGGCTCCCTTAACGGCTCCTTCAGGCAAAAGTGATTGTTTTCCACTTTCATCATCTTTAAAGGTTGCTAACCATCTGTGAGCCTTTTGGGAAGGGTAACGTTCAAAGGGCAATCAAGATTATTTCCTACCAACCCGACTGGAGTTCCATCCATTGATGTTATTAGTGTGTGGGGTTCAACTGAAAGGCAGCTTGGCAGGGAGAGGTTTTCACGTGCCTTGATGGAGCAGCTGAGCCCTGCACGGATCCTGCCTCTTGTAACCCAGTCTCTCATGCTCCTTCTGCAGGCCTACCTTCCAGTACTTCACATGGCACACCTGCGTGCTGGGGATTGCGGGCTGCGTCATCATGGTCTTCCTCATCAGCCCCATCTACGCCTCGGCCAGCGTGGTCTTCATGGTCCTCCTCCTTGTGGCCCTCCACTACCTGTCGCCCAGCAGTAGCTGGGGCTACATCAGCCAAGCTCTCATCTTCCACCAGGTGAGAACAGCCCCATCATAACCATCTGCTCTCAAGTCAAGTCTGACTCACAGCAACCCCTTTTTCAGGGTTTTCCTGGTAGAGAATACTCAGCTGAGGTTTACCATCCCCTTCTTCTGATACTGTGCAGCTTGCCCAAGGCCACATAGGCTGGCTGTCTTCCAGGAAGCATCGTGGGGGGAATCGAACTCCCAACCTCTGGCTCCGCAGCCAGAGACTTAAACCACGGAGCTACCCAGCCGGCTAAGAATAGGTGGTGTTATGCAGCCTTTCCCTTACCTGCCCCCAGGTGGGTTTTCCTTGCTCCAGATTTTCTGGGGCACCTTTATTGAAGGGCGCTGTGCAATGGGCATTTGATGCCTCTCTTGCCAAGAATGCCAGGATTGGTATTCTCGAAGGCTTTCACGGCCAGGATCTGATGGTTGTTGTAGCTTTTTTCAGGCTTTAATGCCAGGATTATTCACAGCTTCCACCGGTTCCATCAAGCCTCGCTGTTAGCTTGGTACCCATCAAGCGCAGTAAGAACTTCAGCATTCCTAAGCATCTAAAGTTCTAGCACATCCCTTTGGTAGATTTTTGCACCAGGAAATATCAGGCAGGGATTGGGGTGTGGCTCCCGCTGATCCTGCAGGCTACCAGAAATTATCCTGAATGCCAGGATTAAGTTTGGGGGGGGGGGGGGAACCGCACGATAAGTGATTTGCCTTCTGTGGTTTTTTTTTTTTTTTGCACTGCTCAATAGAGCCTTTCTCAATCTCAGACTCGTTGTCATCTGATACAATAGCGCTAAAATAACTCAGCTAAAATAAGTTTGTCTGAGAGTTCTGACCCCGACAGAAGCGTGGAAAACAGTGTACCGTATTTTTCGCACCATACTGTAAGATGCACTTTTCCCCCACAAAACAGGGGGGTGGGAAGTCTGTGCGTCTTATGGAGCGAAGAAAACAGATATTTTCCTGTTTTCTTCTCCTAAAAAATTGGTGCGTCTTATGGAAAGGTGCGTCTTATGGAGCAAAAAATACGGTATATTTTCACGTGTATTGCCAGAACCAGGACTTGTTAGTGAAGAATACATAGCATAGTCTCTGACGCCGCGTAGCGGAGAGTTCTGGTAACGTATGTGAAAATAAATTTGCATGCTTGCAAAAAACGGTTCTACATTTTTATTGCCTGTTGTATCCTTTGCCTCAAGGGAAAGCAAAGTGTGCTGCTTATACACCACTCCCCATAGTGCTTAAAGCTCTCTCTGGGTGCTTTAGAAGTTAATTATGCAGGCCGTACATTGCCCCCCCCAAAACATCCTCAAAGAGCCAGGTACTCAATGTACTGTACTGACCTTGAAAGGATGGAAGGCTGGAGTCAGCCTTGAGCCGGCTACCTGAGCCCGTCAGTATTGAACTCAGATCACGAGCAGAGTCTTCACTGCAGTACTGCAGTATAACCTCCGCGCCATGCGCCTCAGGTAAAGGAAGCGCCCCGACCCATCATCGGAAGGCGTTTCGCGATCTAATACATAGCTTGATGTGGGGACAAAGAAGACTTCTTCCCAACTTAGCCTCTGTTCCCTTCCAAGAATATTTTTTGCAGAGGTTAATGAGCTTGGCAAAGCCCGTCCTTTCTTAGAACCTTGGCCCCCCTGTTTGGAAGAGAGAACAAAGGAAACCGTCCATTCCCCCAGAATAATTTATCTCACGTAATGACAACTTTCCCAACTTTTCGCCGCCTTCCATCAATTCCGAGCCGTGTCCTTCTGCGATGCCCCCTTCGGCAGACGGCTTGTTCTTCCAGCTGGCGCTGTCCCCAGGCACCGCCTTTCCCTCGGATTCATTCCCAGCCTCGACTCATTGGGCCCCTTGCCCAGCCCCAGCCTTTTAATTTTTCTGTCATAAAACCAACACTTAAAAGCTCCCTTTAGCACATAATGGAACATTCTCATTACCCAGCTGCCATCTCATTGGCTTGCACAGCGAGAGCCCGAGTTCTCAGCGATGCCACGGCCGTGGCAGGTTACCAGTTCAAGGCCTTGGCTGGCGCAGGGTCTTGCAAAGGCTAAGTGTAAACTTTGGCCACGGCTGTTCCAAGGAGCACGCCTGCGATCCGCTCCTCCGGGGAGACTTTTCTCCTTGAAGGGCAATGGCTGGGCAGTTTGCAAGAGTTTCTGTTCCAGCAGTCGAGGGAAGCATCTGGCAGAGAGTGAAAATGTTACTCTTCTGAATTACATCTCCCAGAATCCGCCAGGGAGCGCCGCCAAAAGCCATGGATGGCAATCTAAGGTGTCGGATTGGGCTCAGGGGTCCTGGGTTCAAACCCCTGTTCAGGGGTGGAGGGTAGCCTCGAGAAACCCACTTCCTGAACATCTCGCATGTCTCAAAGCCCTACGAGGAAGCTCAGAATTGGAAATGACCTGATGGCAGGTTTGAAGGGGCTTAGAATAGATGGCTGATATGATTGTCCGACTCTTTGTGACCCCATGGACCAGAGCACGCCAGGCCCTCCTGTCTTCCACTGCCTCCCAGAGTTGGGTCAAATTCATCTTGGTCGCTTCGGTGACTCTGTCCAACCACCTTGTCCTCTGTCGTCCCCTTCTCCTCTTGCCCTCACGTTTTCCCAACATCAGGGTCTTTTCCAGGGAGTCTTCTCTTCTCATGAGAACGAGAAACCCATTTCCTGAACATCTCGCATATCTCAAAGCCCTACGAGGAAGCCCAAAATTGGAAATGACCTGATGGAAGGTTTGAAGGGGCTTAGAATAGATGTCTGATATGATTGTCCAACTCATTGTGACCCCATGGACCAGAGCCCGCCAGGCCCTCCTGTCTTCCACTGCCTCCCGGAATTTGGTCAAATTCATGTTGGTCGCTTCAATGACACTGTCCAACCATCTTGTCTTCTGTCGTCCCCTTCTCTTCTTGCCTTCACACTTTCCCAACATTAGGGGCTTTTCCAGGGAGTCTTCTCTTCTCATGAGATGGCCAAAGGATTGGAGCCTCAGCTTCAGGATCTGTCCTTCCAGTGAACACTCAGAGTTGTTTTCCTTCAAAGGAAGGAAATCAACCCTGAGTGCTCACTAATATGATAGTACTTTCCAAACCCTTGAAAGGTAGTCATAAAGAGGAGGGACTGGATCTGCTCTCAATTAACCCACGGTCCATGACATGTAATAATGGGCTCAAACTACAGAAAACCAGATTTAGACTGAATATCAGGAAAAACGTCTTAACTGTTAGAGCTGTACGACAGTGGAGCCACTGGCCTCGGGAGGTGGTGAGTGCTTGAATGCTGGAGGCGTTCCAGAGAAAGTTGGACCACCATCAGTCAACTGGCCTTGGGAGGTGGTGAGCGCTTGAATGCTGGAGGCATTCCAGAGAAAGTTGGACCACCATCAGTCAGAGATACCTTGTCTTAGATTCCTGCCTTGAGCAGGGGGTTGGACTAGATGGCCTTCGAGGCCCCTTCCCACGTCATTGTTTTATGATTCTATAATTTTATGATCTCTCATTACTGCTGAAGGGCTTTACCCTAAGGATTAGTATTTCAGAGCCTTTCTAAAATGCTGTAGTGAACTTTGGGTATCTTACTTCCCTACAGCCACCCTGCAGAGTAGGAGAGTGGTAGGATGATTCCCCATCCTTTGAAGCCTGCTGATCTGCCTATTAGTGAAAGCCGCTGACTTTACACTGTCTCCCAAACAGCTGCTCTTTTATGGGCCACCTCGCTTGCTCTACTTCTCTTCCACATACTCGGCCTTCCTTGCTTGCCTTTTCTGGTGGAATGGGACGCAGGTAGGATTCATTGTTCTATGATTCTATAATTTTATGATCTCTCATTACTGCTGAAGGGCTTTGCCCTAAGGATTGGTATTTCAGAGCCTTTCTAAAATGCTGTAGTGAACTTTGGGTGTCTTACTTCCCTACAGCCACCCTGCAGAGTGGTAGGATGATTCCCCATCCTTTGAAGCCTGCTGATCTGCCTATTAGTGAAAGCCACTGACTTTACACTGTCTCCCAAACAGCTGCTCTTTTATGGGCCACCTGGCTTGCTCTACTTCTCTTCCACATACTCGGCCTTCCTTGCTTGCCTTTTCTGGTGGAATGGGACGCAGGTAGGATGTCACCGAAGGGCAGGAGATGTGTGGCTCTTTTGGATGTTGAACAGGTGTGATTCCTGCTAGCTTTAGCCAGAGTAGGCAGGGATGAAAGCGGATGGGACTTGCAGCCCCCAAACCTCTGAGAGTCTTACCCATTTGCCAGGAGAGTTAACTCACCGTGTCCTCCTTGTCCTCTGCCCATTCTTAAGACTACATCAAGGCCAAACTTCTTTCTCCGTGTGTTGCTGAAATGCTTCCTTTTCTGGGGTGGTCTCTTGTGCTTAGCAAAAATCGAGGACCTCTCAGGTGACACGTTTGGGACACACAGGGTGGCCCACGGATAAATCTCAACTCTACGGCCTTGGGCCGCTGTCCGACACAAACCCCCTTTAAATCAGCCACATTTCATTTAGTCATTTAGTCGTGTCTGACTCTTGGTGACCCCATGGACCAGAGCACGCCAGGCCCTCCTATCTTCCACTGCCTCCCGGAGTTGGGAGAGTTAACTCACCGTGTCCTCCTTGTCCTCTGCCCATTCCTAAGACTACATCAAGGCCAAACTTCTTTCTCTGTGTGGTGCTGAAATGCTTCCTTTTCTAGGGTGGTCTCTTGTGCTTAGCAAAAATCAAGGACCTCTCAGGTGACACGTTTGGGACACACAGGGCGGCCCACGGATAAATCTCAACTCTACGGCCTTGGGCCGCTGTCCAACACAAACCCCCTTTAAATCAGCCACAGATCTGTTCATTTCACCAGAGCTAGAAAGAGGAAGATGTCTGAGGGGAAGGGCGCTCCTCATTGGTAATTTGTGGGCTCTGTTTGAAATTCGCCGCTTGGATCCCCCCCAATCATGATGGGGGACTGTGTCCACTTGTGGTGTCTTGTAAAGCGAGGGTCACCGAGGCATCTGCAAGCCATCAGTTGGGCTCAACCCGTTTTTGGAAGAGGAGTGTTTGAAAGGAAGCCCAAAGCATGTGGGTAAAAACAATTGTCACAGAAAAAATCACCTGGGGATTTATTTTTTCTGCTCACACCAACACCTCCCTTCTCCTTTTTAAACCTCTAGTTCTAAATGCTGTCAAGTAGGGGCTCCTATTTGGAGCCTCTAACAGACAAGGGGAGTAGGGGGTGTGGAGGGGGAAAATGAGCTTCTCTGCTGTGCATCAGGATAATAACATTTATTCACCAAGGCAATGTTACTCCGACAAACGCTGATCAAATGCATTTGTCCCTGGTAGTGAAGACAAATGCCAGGAGCGGAGGATATAAATGCATTAGCTTGCCCTGAGCTGTGATTTGCCTGACAGACATGCACACGGTTGATTAGCAGCCCAGGAGACATTTTGATCAGGAAGACACACATTCAGGCCGCGCTTTCAGTCGACATGCAGATCGCTGGCCCTCTTCACGTCTCTCAAGGGGTGTCGCATAGCTCAGGGCAAAGATCCCGGCGAAGAGAGCCGAACCAGACGTGGTGGGCTTAAGCTGCAAGGGGATGGACCTGCATCGATCATTATGAGAAACCTCTCCATGGAATGGTCAATTGATTAAGGGGACCCTCATTGCCTAGGGATAGAGAGATACAGAAAGCTGCCTTATATGACAAGCCAGATCCTTGGCCCATCTGGGTCCGCATTGCTGACATGGGCTGGCAGCTGCTCTCCAAGCTGCAGGAAGGTCCGTTTCCTAGCCCTGCCTGGAGGTGCTGGGGTTGCGTTTGGGACTCTTGGCATGTCGCCGAGTCCCCTGTGTTCTGTTGTGGTCTCCCATCCAAGCGTTCACCACACCTGATCATGCTTAGCTTCCAAAATCAGACTAGGCTAGGTGTGTTCACAGTGTTGGGCGCTCCGCCGTGTTGGAGATCTTTCCACAGAGCCTCAAGCTGTGGCTTTCCTGAAAAGACGTAAGACTCAATGACCATGAAGTCCCTACCTCTACCCTAGTGGCCAGTTTTGTAAGGCCAGCCTCAAAGGCAAGCTAACTTTGCACTTAAGCAGACGGGACACCGTTGCGCCAGCCTCTCTAGAGCATTGCAATGTGCCATTGACCTGGAGTTGCTGCAATCATGACTATACTTAGCATGCAACACGTGAAAGGAAAGGTCTCTGCTTTGGGGAGGTTGCAGGTGGAGGTGGAAGGAAGGGAAGGGAGAGGCACAGAGAAAAGGGTTAGGGTTGAGCCGATGGAGGGAAGGGGCATTTGGCACTTAAGCGTAACTGGGGAAGGAAAGGGTCAAGTGGCCTTTGAGAGGAACGGAATGGGAAGGAAGAAGAGAAGAGACTGAGACTTAAGTACAGGGAGAATAACATTCCAGACATAAAGGAGCAGCAAAGCAGAGAAAGAGAGAACGGGAGCTCATTCGGTCCCTGAGGGTATACTACTTAAGCCAAGAAGGATCCTGAGAGTTGTAGACCAGAAATAGACAAGGAACCTGACTTGATGGCCTTGTAGGCTCCTTCCAACTTCACTTTTCTATGATTCTACAAACCGGTCCTAAGGTCTGGTCAGCGCGGAGGCTTGTATGAGGAAACTCAAGGGGTTTTTGTTGGGGGCAGAAACTGCGGGAAAGGCAGCGCCGCAGCCATTTGCCTGCTTGCATGACTCTCCGACCGTTGGATCCCCTGAGGGAGGAGAGAGGGGTGGTGTTGTGAAAATATTGCAGACCCAAAATAAAAAACTGTATGGTTTGTCCTCATAGCTGCCTCCCTGAGGCGTCATCCAGCATGGTGAGCTGCTCAGTCGGGATGCGTGCCAACTCAAGCACCATCCCATCCGGTTTTGGGGCCAGGTTCCTGCCATGGAGAGGGATGTGGTGGCGCTGCGGGTTAAACCGCAGAAGCCTCTGTGCTGCAAGGTCAGAAGACCTGCCGCCGTAAGATCGAATCCACGCAGAGAAGTGAGCTCCTGTCGCTTGTCCCATCTCCTGCTACCCTAGCAGTTCGAAAGCATGTAAAGATGCGAGTAGATAAATAGGTACCTTTTTGGTGCGAAGGTGACAGCATTCCATGTCTAGTCATGCTGGCCACATGACCATGGAAACTGTATTCGGACAAACGCTGGCTCTACGGCTTGGAGACGGGGATGAGCACCACACCCTAGAGTTGGACACGACTGGACTAAACATCAAGGGGAACCTTTACCTTTACCTCTTGCCATGGATTGGAAGCCAGACAATGGGACCGTGGCCTGCCCGTGCATCAACGTGGAACCCCTGGCGTATGTTGCTGTTAGTGGCTGGCACCCCTCATTATCCTCTCCAAGTGCCTCGCAGGGTGGTGGGGGCACTCGGGCGGAACCCACTTCCTGCCAGTCTGGGGACAGGGGGTGCTGACAGGCAGGTGCTGTGTGTCCCCACCTGCTTCTCACCTGCCTCTCCACGCAGCTCCCTGTCAGGCAGGGCTAGCTGCGACGCAGACGGGTGGACTGCCTTCTCAGGGGTAGGGGTGTGGGAGAGGCAGGAAAAGGGGAAGCCTGGGATACAGTTGAAAGCAGCTGTTACTTTTCCGGAGGAATGGATGAGCCAGCGTTTTCACCCACATTTTAGCCTGTTGCGAAATTTTGAAACCGGTTCTGCATTTCCTCAGGCAGAATGTCTTGTACAAGGGAGAATATCCTACAATACTGTATGTTTGGGGTGAAATTTCACAAGGGGTTGTCAACCCATAAGATAGGTCAGTTTGGACTTTTACCTAATAAGATAATAACCATGTGCTCTCCAGTCAATTCTGACCTATAGCAACGCTTGCAAGGGTTTTTCAGATAGAGAAGACACAGAAGTGTATTTCCCATTCCTTTTTTCTGGGGGGGTTGCCCTGGGACTACTGTGCAGTTTGCCCAAGGCCACCCAGGCTGGCTCTTCTCCCAGAAGGCCCATTGGGGGATTCAAACTCCCAAATTTCTTTGGCTCCACAGCCAGAGACCTCAACCACGGAGTTCTCCAGCCGGCTTTGACTTAAAGTAGAACTTAGCGACAATTTTGTAGATTTTCTTCAAGTGCAGGACCTAGGAAGCTTTGGAGGACGTCCATGGGGGTTGAAGAAAACCAGCAGAATTTCTCACCTCACTTCGATATATGATCAATACTGGCAGTGGCAGCTAAGTAGGGTCAGCTGGAACCCTTGTACTATATCTTCTTTGTTCCTCTTTTTCCCCTGAGTTTAATTTCATTCTGTAAGCTTCTTGGGGCTGAGACCAATGCTTACCACTGTGACGGCATTGTGTTGGTCTTGTTCAATAGCTACCGGTGATGAACGTCCAGTTGGGTTCAGGGATGCTGGGCTGTTCGGCGTGCGATTGAAGCTTCAGGTTTGGAAGGCCAGCCTCCTCTCCTGTTCCTCATCGCCGCCCTTGTGCTCCTCTTGCTCCCAGGTCCGCAAGTACCTCCTGATGCTGGACATCCGCAAGGAACACGTCAAGTTCTGGCGTCCGCAAGTGCTCTTGATGGTCCGGAACCCCAGGACCTCCCTGCAGCTCATCAGCTTCATTAATGACCTGAAGAAGAGCGGCTTGTACGTCCTTGGCCACGTGGAGCTGGACAATTTAGGTAAGTGGGTGGCCAGAGGGTGAAACCAGCAGGCTTTAGCTAGCGAGGTATCAGGAGAGGCTGAAGAGTGGGTGCCCGGTGAGAGGAAAGGTAACCGGCTGGCACTATAGCAAAATTTTGAAAAGTTTCATTCATTCATTCATTCATACATTCATTCATTCAATCGTTCATTCATTCGTTCGTTCGTTCGTTCGTTCGTTCGTTCGTTCGTTCGTTCGTTCGTTCGTTCGTTCGTTCGTTCGTTCGTTCGTTCGTTCGTTCGTTCGTTCGTTCGTTCGTTCGTTCGTTCATTCATTCATTCATTCAAAATATTTTCACCCTGCCTTTCTCTTTAAAAGGAGCCAAGGCGACTTAACATCATTAAAAGGACAATATTTACAAAGCTAAAAAACAATAAGTATTCAAATACTTAAAACAAGAATTGAGCAAGTATTATATTAAAAAACGGTAAATAAAATTAAGATTAAAAATACATTTCAAAGCAACAGAGTGCAGCCATGCAATTTGAAAAAAACACCCTCCGAGGCCTCCAGTCACTAAGGAAAAACTTGCCTGAAGAGAAAGGTCTTTGTTTGTGGAGGGACAAACAAGAGGAGGCCAGCCTGGCTTCCAGTGGGAGGGAGTTCCACAGTCTCTGGGAGCAGCCACAGAGAAGGCCTTCTCCTGGGTCCCCACCAAATGCACCTGTGAAGGTGGCGAGACTGAGAGAAGGGCCTCCCCGGATGATCTTAATGCCTGGTCAGGCTCGTGAAGGGAGACATGACCCTTGAGATAGCTTGGATCCAAGCCGTTGAGGGCTTTATCAATTAAAACCAGCACTTTTGACTAACTTACAAGCCCCAGAGTGTTCCACTAGCTATGCTATCTAAGAGTTGGTGGTTCAAAGCATAACTTTCACAAGCTGCTTCCTGTTCTGTGGGTTTCAGATCGGTAGCCGTGGGCTTCTGTGGCTTCCGTGTCTTTCTTCAGACTAAAGGTTTTGCTTTTTAAAATGCTGTTGCCAAAGGGCATGTTCAGATGTCGAGGTTAGCTGGGTTTCTTCAGGAACCTTCGCTTACCAAAGAAGAGCCCACGTGGCTTGCGGTTTGTCTGATACGATGCGCAGACCTGGCTGGGGCTGGGGATCCATCTTGTTCTTCTGTCAGAGAACCAAAAAATAGAATCCAGCTCATTCAAAAGTTTGCTCCCTCCTCAGTTTGCATGTTGTGCCCAGTAGGTTAATTTCTCTATTTCGTTGGTTCATTGGTTTTCTGCTCAGGCTGGACTCCCAAAGCTGTTTAGAATACATGAAATTTAATAAAAACAAAAGTTAAACATTATTGAAAAATAGATTAAAACATGGGGGTGGGGGCAGAGAAGCAGATCCAAAGCATGTTCTAAAAATCCAGTCCTAGTGACTAAAGACCCTTTGGAAGAATAAAGTGGGCTGTTGCTTATATACCCACCTCAAAGTGCTTAAAGCACTCTCTGGCTTATTTGCAATTTAATTATTGCCCCCACCCACAGTTTGATGGGTATTCAGTTTACCAAATTAGAAGGATGGAAGGCTGAGTGAACCTTGAGCTGGCTATCTGAACCCATTGGGATCGCACTCAGGTGGTGAATAGAGTCTTGACGGCAGGACTGCAGTTTAACCACTGCACCCCAGTGCACTCCTCGGGGTGCCTGTCAGATACTCAGCAGAGATGAAGCAAGTCTGACTTTCCACGGAAGGGAGTTCCACAGTCACGGCGCTGTTACAGAGAAAACTCTGTCTTATGAACCCATCCATCATGGAATCTTATGGACTTGAGACAAGTAACAGGGCCTCTGTTGTCGATCTCACAACAAAAGTTGTCTGCTGCCTTGGGTCCTTTTGGGGAGAAAGGCGGCATACAAATAAATGTATGTATGTATGGACGTGGTGGCGCTGCGGGTTAAACCGTGGAAGCCTCTGTGCTGCAAGGTGAGAAGACCAGCCATCGTAAGATTGAATCCACGTGACGGAGGGAGCTCCCGTCGCTTGTCCCAGCTCCTGCCAACCTAGCCATTCAAAAGCATGTAAAATGCGAGTCGATAAATTGGTACCACCACAGTGGGAAGGTCACAGCATTCCGTGTCTAGTCACGCTGGCCACGTGACCACGGACACAGTGTACAGACAAAATGCTGGCTCTACGGCTTGCAAACAGGGATGAGCACTGACCCCTAGAGTCAGACACGACTGGAGAATTTGTCAATGGTGCCTCGCTTAGCGACATTAATCCATTCCGGAAAAAACGTTGCTAAACGATAACATAGCTAAGCGAAATTAAAAAGCCCGTAGAAACGCATTAAAACATGATTAATGCGTTCCTATGGGCTTAAAAACTCACCTTAAAGCGAAAATCCTCCATAGCGCCGCCATTTTCGCTGCCTCTTAAGCAAGGAAAAACAGTGGGCGGCCATTTTGTTTTCCCGGTGGCCATTTTGAAACTGCCGATCAGCTGTTAAAAAAGGGTCGCTTTGCCATGATCCTTTCCCCGCAATCATCGCAAAGCGAAAAAACCCCATAGGGACCATCGCAAAACAATCATTTTTGCGATTACAAAAAGTCCCTAAGCGATTTCATCGCTCAACAGAGCGATCGCTAAGCGAGGCACCACTGTATGTATGTATGTATGTATGTATGTATGTATGTATGTATGTATGTATGTATGTATGTATGTATGTATGTATGTATGTATGTATGTATGTATGTATGATGTTTTTTTTACTGCAAGTTGTTTTAGCCACTTTGATACAAGCGGGAGTGATTCCTCACTGCGTGTGTGTCGTCAACTCAGATGCCTGCAAGACTCTGTTTAAGAGTGACCCACAGGCAGCGACTTAGAAAGAATGCACCAGAAAAACAGCAGGTGGTTTATTAATAATGATTTATAGTCCTGCAACATTTTGTTGATTAATTATTTAGATTGCTTTATTAAAAGTGCTTTCAGCTGAAAAGTTACTTTCAATTAATGGGTCAGTGACTTTTCTTTTTTAAAAAAATCAGTACAAGTGTGCAGATAATGGGAAAGAAAAGGGGGGCTGCTGTAAAGAAGTAAAAAGAATTTAGATAAGCAAGCAATGGAAGTCTTTTGCCATAGACCCCGAGAAGCTGTTGCCGATGAGAGTGTATGTTACTGACTCTAGTGGGTGAATCTTGTGATCAAGTGGCATATGACAGTGGTAAGAATTAATTGTTGTTGTTCAGTCATTAAGTCAAGTCCGACTCTTCGTGACCCCATGGACCAGAGCACGCCAGGCCCTCCTGTTTTCCACTGCCTCCCGGAGTTTTGTCAAATTCATGTTGGTTGCTTCGCAGACACTGTCCAGCCATCTCATCCTCTGTCATCCCCTTCTCCTCTTGCCTCCACACTTTCCCAACATCAGGGTCTTTTCCAGGGAGTCTTCTCTTCTCATGAGATGGTCAAAGTCTTGGAGCCTCAGCTTCAGGATCTGTCCTTCCAGTGAGCATTCAGGGTTGATTTCCTTCCGAATGGATAGGTTTGTTCTCTTTGCAGTCCAGGGGACTCTCAAGAGTCTCCTCCAGCCCGACAATTCAAAAGCATCCGTTCTTCGGCAATCAGCCTTCTTTATGTTCCAGCTCTCACTTCCATACATCGCTACCGGAAAAACCATAGCTTTGACTATGTGGACTTTTGTTGGCAAGGTGTTGTCTCTGCTTTTTAAGATGCTGTCTAGGTTTGTCATCGCTTTCCTCCCAAGAAGCAGGCGGCTTTTAATTTCGTGGCTGCTGTTACCATCTGCAGTGATCATGGAGCCCAAGAAAGTAAAATCTGTCACTGCCTCCATATCTTCCCCTTCTGTTCAACAGGAGGTGATGGGACCGGTGGCCATGATCTTAGTTTTTTTCTTTTTATGTTGAGCTTCAGACCATTTTTCGCTCTCCTCTTTCATCCTCATTAAGAGGTTCTTTAATTCCTCCTCACTTTCTGCCATCAGAGTGGTATCATCTGCATATCGGAGGTTGTTGATATTTCTTCCGGCAATCTTAATTCCGGTTTGGGATTCCTCCAGTCCTGCTGGGTAGAGCTTATATTACGAGCATCCTGAAAAATCATAGTAGGGCTTATTTTCAGGTTAGGTCTTATTTTCAGGGAAACAGGGTAGTCCCTGGGAAATCTCCATTCAGAAGTACCATGTGCTCAGCTCAAGCAGGAAGGACATGTCCTGATAACAGCTGAGAGCAATAAGTAGCAGCTGTGGGTACTGGAAGGGCTTTTCCGTTCGCTGACTCCTAACACAGCCCAGCAGAGGAATAAAACGAACACAGACCCCAGGGAGCAATCAAGCAGGACTTTGATGGGGAAATTCAACAAGGGAGGTCCCTAACAAAATCTTTGATTTCTGGATATAGTTCTAGATTAGTGGCCTTTCCTCGCATCCTTCAAGGCAGAAATGATAAAGCAATAGGCACTCATAGACAAATAGAAGAAAGTAAAAAGGTAACAGGGATCATGAAGGGAAGAGATGCTTATATGGTGGTGACCTGCAAAGTGTGTGCAATGTTTATCTTCATGCCTGAGAGCAACGAGTGCAAACTGGTGGCCCTGTTGGACGAGAAAGAGAGAGAATTAGAGCCACGAGTGGCCATGCTTAAAGCTATTAGAGAAGAGTAAATAGACAGAACTCTTAAGCAGCAGCCAGCAAGGGAGGTCCTGGAGAATGGGAGAACAGCAAGACGAAAGGATGTCGAAGAGAGAACAAACCGAGTGGAGGAGCAAAAGAAGGAGAAGACATCGTTCACCACTGGAACTGCAAAACCGCGCTCAGATGCTCGAAGACAAGTCTGCCAGACAGCATGCAGACGAAGACATCCAGGAGACCCTATGGGAGGACATGAAAGCGACTGCAGCTCAGCCAAGGAGAGTCACTGAATCTACATCATTCAAAAAGAAGAAGAGAAGAGTCGCTGTCGTAGGAGACTCCCGATGTGTGGGACGGAAACTGAAAGATGCCTGGAAAATCTGTGGGCCT